TCTATGAAAAAAGACTGAGATGTCATGTTCCCTTGCTCAAGACACTCAAGTTGTGAGCTCATCTAAGAGTTGTACAAAACAGGAGAAATCTGTGTCTATGCTTCCTGTTATCAGTCTTATTTTATCCCCTGTTGCAACCATACAGTTTGAATAACCTTTAGTGTCTGCCATTTTTCCTGTCAGCAGTCTGGTTTTACTTCTTTGTTTCACAGCAAGCTGATCTAGTCTTTATGTAAAGTTAGCATAATTTCCCATCATGCTTGTTGAGTTTCAGTTGTTAGCCATGGGGCCACAGTTATCCATAAGATCACAATCATTTGCACTGGCTTCTGTGTCTGCTCCCACACTTACCTCTGCAGCCTCGTAAGGATCTATCTTTGGCTCCCTCTTACCTCATTGACCTGCTGTCCCTCAGTGAAAATATGCAAGTGCACATCATTCTTTTCCACATATACATTAACTAAATCCATGTTCAGCTCATCAGCACAGTTTTCGAATCCTTCACAATTTCTAAATTGTCAGAATGCTTATTTAACATCCAGTGCTTGAGAAGCAGAAACTTCCTTCACTTAAATGTTGGGATGATTGATGACATTTCTTTTGATTTGAGATCCACACTTCATCTCTGCCCCTGCAACCACCTTTAAAACTAAACCTATCTGTTCATAACCTTGGTGTCTTACTAAACGCTGAGATGATTTTCCTACTACGTATCCATATTGTTGTTAACACTGTCTATTTCTAGCTCCTGACTTTGTCCCTTCCTTAGTTCATTTGCTGAAGAAACCCTCAGTCATGATGATGTCACCTTTTGACTTGACTATTTCAACATGCTCCTAGCTAGTCTCTTGTATGTTTCTTCCCTAAAGTTGAGGCTGTCAACTACTGATGCCCTTGCTCACTTCAAGCCTGTTAACCTATCACCCCCTGTAATCGCTGACCTACTTTGGTGTTTTTGCAATGCATTGATCTTTTAAAAAAGGTTTATCCTTGTTTTCAGACTCCCTTATGGCATTACTCCTCTCTCTTTCTATAACTTCCTCTGGTTTCACAACCCTCTGTGATACATGACCTCATGGAATAGTGGCCTATTGGGGATCCTTGATTTTAATTACTCCACTATTATTGGCTGTGCCTTTCGCTGTCTGGGCACAAAGCTCTGGACTACCCTCTGTCCCTATATGTCACTTTCTGCCTTTTAAGATGTACTTAAGACCTTTATCTTTACCAAGGTCTTGACCATATGTACTGATATTGCCTTACGAGCATGAATCTAGCTTTACAATCTTTCTCAGAATCATTTACTAGATTAAAGTTGCTACATAAATAGAAACCAAAAGAACTGCGGATGCTGTAAATCAGGAACAAAAAGTTGCTGGAAAAGCTCAGCAGGTCTGGCACCATCTGTGGAGGAGAAAACAGAGTTAACGTTTCAGGTCCAATGACCCTTCCTCAGAACTGATGGTGGCTGGGAAAACGTCAGTTTATATTCAGAAAATAGGGAGGTGAATGGGGTAGGGAGTAAACGATAGCATAGAGCCCAAAGAGAGAGAAAGACAGTTGGACAGACAAAGGAGTTGCTAACGATCAGGCTGGCAGGGTGAATAGTTGTTAATGGGGACTGTTAGCCTGCCACTACACACCCCCTGTTGTTAGTCACTATGTGGTAACAAGGCCTGGTGTGTGGGGTGGGGGGGCTGGGACATGGGAGAGTTTAGGTCCTAAAATTATTGAACTCAATATTGAGTCCGGAGGGCTGTAGGGTCCCCAAGCCACTTCAATGCACCACCTTGCTCCCTGGCCAACATCTGTCTCCGGCTTGCTATAGTGTTCCAGTGAAGCTCAGCGCAAGCTGGAGGAACAACACCTCACTTTCTGCTTGGGGACCCTACAGCCCTCCGGACTCAATATTGAGTTCAATAATTTTAGGGCCTAAACTCTCCCATGTCCCAGCTCCCCCACCCCACACACCAGGCCTTGTTACCACATAGCCTGCCACTACACACCCCCTGTTGTTAGTCACTAACAGTCCCCATTAACAACTATTCACCCTCCCAGCCTGATCGTTAGCAGCTCCTTTTGTCTGTCCAACTGTCTTTCTCTCTTTGGGCTCTATCCTATCGTTTACTCCCTACCCCACCCACCTCCCTATTTTCTGCATATAAACTGATGTTTTCCCAGCCACCATCAGTTCTGAGGAAGGGTCACCGAACCCAAAACATTAACTCTGTTTTCTCCTCCCCAGATGCTGCAAGACCTGTTGAGCTTTTCCAGCAACTTTGTTTTTGTTCCTACATAAATAGAAGTTGTTTTTAATACTTTAATGTAAGCATCTTGGTCTCAGATTGGATTTAATATCGTGGATTATTTTTGCCCCTTAACTGTAGGTAATGGAGAACTTGGAATGCAAGGGTAGCACCCTTGCCTGTGAGCAAGAAATTGTGGATTTAAGTTCCATTCATGATACAGCTAAACATATTGGGCTGAATATTGCACTTTTTTGGCTACATATCTGTTTTGTCCATTTTCATGGAGGCCCAGCAATACTACTGCAAGGCCTGACAACATCACTGATCATGATCAGGTAACTGGCTGAAAGTTACCTTTTTTTTTTTTGCCTCCTCCTCCTCTTGAAATAGATGTGTGTCTCCGGCACTTTTCCCTAATCTAAGGATTGTTGGGAGATTAGGGCCAATGCATCGACCATCTCTGTAGTTACTCCTTTAATGCCCTAGGCACAAGTCAGCAGTGTGATGGAATACTCCCCACTTGCCTGGATGAGTGGAGCCCCAACAACACTCAAGAAGCTTGACACCATCCAACATAAAGCAGCCCACTTGGTTGGCCCTCCATCCATAAGCATCCACTCGCTCCACCATCGATGTTCAGTAGCAGCAGTGTGCACTATCTATGTAATGCACTGCAGAAATTCACCAAAGATCCTCACCTTCCAAACACTACCACTTCCATCTAGAAGGACAAGGGCAGCAGATATATGGAAACACCACCACCTTCAATTTCTCCAAGTCACTCCCCATCCTGACTTGGAAATATATCGCTGGGTCAAAATCCTGGAATTCCCTCCCTAATGGCATTGTGGGTCAACCACAGCAGGTGGATTGCAGTGGTTCAAGAAGGCAGCTCACTACCACCTTCTCAAGGACAACCAGGGATGGGCAATAAATGCTGGCCAGCCAGTGACATCCACATCCCACAAAAATGGATTTTAAAAAATAATAGACCATTCTCATACACCTTATGAGGACTTTTTCCTAATGCCCAATCAGCAGAGCGAAAGTACTGACAGAAATCAGACTGAGTGGTAACGGAGGGGAAAAAAAATGTGTAAAGTCAAAAAATGTGAAATATTTTGAATATTCCATATCTCTCACTATTCCATCAAATTGCTGCAAACACCGGATATTTCTAAAAGATAAATAATTGTATAATTTTTGTTTTGAGATGCTAAATTTATAATGCATCAATTGGAAAATTTTAGTTGTCTTCAATTAATAATTTTTCTTACTGTGTTAAACTGTGAAGGCAATTGGTCAATCATGATAAGAAACTGGAACATTTTAAGTTCTTAAAAGCTTTACCCTTTAGAGAAGCTAACTAATGCAGTTTATTATCCTCTGTTCGGCAAATTCCAATTACCATGGAAGGAAAGAACAAAGAAAATCACTATACCATATCTGATTTTGTACTTTTCAGGTATCAGTCACTTGATAGTGATCAGATGAAAAGCTTCGTGTAGTAGAGGAAGTTTGGTGGGAGTAAGGATACCTAAGCTATATTGCATTTAAAATGAAATATCAGTGATATTGTAGACTGTGGATTTTGAGATGTTGATAGCTGCTATATAGTCGAGGTGTGTTGCGCTGAAGTACTGGATTATACACTTGGTCTGCATTGTCTGCAGGTTCAGTCCTGGCAGATCCGTGTACTTGTGAAGAAGGCTCCAGATCCCTTTTCTTTTTTTTTTTGAAATCTCCCCATCCCCACCCCAACAGATCCTGGTAGATCATGCAGTACTTCTAGGTACTTTGTATTAGATAATGAACTGTCATTGCAGTGGTATTTGCAGGCGAGCAATGTCCCAATTCCCTATGGATAATAAAGTTTAGGTTTATTATCAGGTGAATTACAGAACACCAATGAGAACAAAAATCAATGTGCCATGAATAATCTGGCGTAGGAGTAGTGATTGAACAAAAACAGCCTTGCAGATCTGTAATGCAAAAGTTACATGAACAACCTATACAGGGCTCACTAGTTAACTTAGCATGAAATACTTGGTTTTTAGCTTGTGGTTGTGGATGGAAATCAAGCAGGTGATAGGGGCAAGAAGGGCTATATCCAGAAGGTCAGTGCCCTTTATGTTACTGATTGTGGACCTGGAGGTGCAGGAGTATTTTCTTGGTAGTCCAATAAACTAATCTACTTTTCTCCCCATGATCATCTGACCCAATCATTTCAATGTCCACATTATGGTTCCCCTGGCTGGTTTCACCCCTACCCACTTCCCCGTGAGCTCTGCATCCCCCTTATCACTTGTGTTATCTTTCCTCATCCTGACGACAAGCTCACTGGGATCTGTCACTTCCGTCACTTGCAACTTCTCCTGCCCTACCCACTGTCTGTCTGATCTTTGGCTGCAGTTACCATTTGGTTTTCCAACATGACAGGAGAGTTTCTTGTCAACCTAGCTGGCTGTTGAGCAAGAAATATTCCTACTATTAATGTCTGGAGAAGCCTGTATTTGAGGTTTATCGTCCAGAACTCCTCTCTCCCATCTGGTATATAACGATTGCTAATTAAAATCTATGACTCTATAAAATAAACTCAAGTTAAATGTTTATATATTTAACTCTTTTGAGGTGTAGGCTTTTACTTTCTTAAAAAAAAAAAAAAAAAAATTTCAACTTGGGCTGCCTTCTGAAAATATAGGTCTTTGCGTTCATACAATGGTTTAATGTATAACATCTTTGCATTTTCAGTGCAATCAACATAAAGAGGCCTATATTACCCAGTTCCACAGGTTATATAATGGTGGAGCCTTCACCTCACGCAGGTAAAATATATGTAAAGACATGATTGTTAAATTTAAAGATTTGTCATAATTGAAACTTTGAAAATTGTATTGATCGCTGAATGTATGGCGTATCGTGATTGTATGTATTTATTTTATGTTTGTTTTCAGCTCCAGCTCTTCGAGAATGTGTCCGGGGGCAGCCCATGGTGTCACCATCTGGTTTTTATTACGAAGACCAGTGGATGTCAACAACCTGCAATATTCGCTGCTTTGACACGCCAGCAAAAATTACAGACTGTCTTCATGGAAAAAATGTCTTTCTGTTTGGAGATTCCACTGTTCGTCAGTGGTTTGAATATTTGACTGAATTCATTCCAGGTTGGGTTTCTTAGTCTCTCAGCCTGCTTCTCTTTTGTTGTCTGCCTGTTTAATCTAGTTATTTACCCGCGTCTATCTTTTTACTAGAATGCATCATGGATTAAATGTGCGTGACACTTATGCATACATTATTGGCTAAAGTACACATCTGAACAAAAGAAATTCCTCAGGATTTTAGGAAAAATATCCTGTGACTCACCATCCAATAAAAGTGCAAGTGAACCGATCAAAAAGATCAGTCTTCCTGGAAAATTGTTTTGGTCTGCTGTTTATACCCTCCTGATCCACTGAGTATGAAATGTTTAAAAATACATATTGTGAAATAACTTTATTTAAACTTGGCAATAACATCTAATATCTTTGGGTATTTTATTAATAATATTGTATGAAGGTCTTGTTCACATATGAGCTCTGACGATCAATTCCTTTGCCCTTTGAGCAAAGGGCATGGCCATTTCCCTGTTGCAAAGAGTAGGAAAAGTAGCTAGAGATCGGTTTTGATCCATCTATGATCCTTTTAAGTGCCTCTGGATTTTGAGGATTTCCCTGGTGGTAGGAGCTAAGTCAGTGCCTGCAGTAACACAGCACAGCGAAGTATCTGTTAACTAAACAAAGAATTTCCAGTGCAACCCCACCCATCATTACTTACCCAGAGGAATGTAGACAGACTCAATGAAGCTCAGGTCTGTGCTCAGAACCCCCATGGATCAGGGAATGGGGAAGTGAGAAATGGCCTTGATGGCAAGGCAGAGACAACCAGGTAACTCTTAATCTTCAGTTTTGTCTACCTGGAATATTTTGTTGCTTTTCATGCCTGTATTAGCAGTGAGAAAACCTGGATTGTGGAGCATGATTGAAGTTGGTAGCCTGTGCAGTGGGCCAGAATGGGGAAACCATAGGTCGTGTACCGGCATAGGACAGCAAATGCCGACTGTGTCTGGTTTGGGGCAGGAGCTCTGCATTTTGAGGCTGTTGCTTTTGACCACTTCTAGAGAAGATAGGTGTCTGAAAAAGTATTGCCTAATATATATTTCTCTTCCGCTATAATCTATTAATCAAAGGTAAATGTCATAGCCTCTGAGTGTGCATGTTTGCAAACATTCCTCGGTACAAACCAGGACAAGTGGAAAAGTGCACTTTTCAATTTGAAAGTCAAACTGAGGCCCTCTGACATGATCTTAAATGCATTGTCTATATGTTTTCACAATTTCAGCATGTAAAGGCAGTGTTTCAGAATGAGGTGTCATATTCTGTTACCAGTCAGTCACAGACATTGAAATCCGGCTTTATAATGCTGCTTGTGTCGCCACTATAGAAAACCACTGTCTCAATGGCAGTGCACTGTGCTTCGGAACATTTTCTTCATAGCATACATGGCATGCCATGCTAAAAGGGTACTAATAAGGATGTGGTGTGCATGTATTGTAGAATGTTATACCTGTTTTGGATTTGCATGTCAGAATTCTGGGCCTGAGCTTCTGCTGCAGCCCAGAAACATTGGGTACTTTTGCCTGTCATCGACTTTGAAACTGAGACAGTAGTCACCCAGGCACTACATCATGGCTGAATCTGCAAGTGCTGTCATGGGGCTGCGCACCTCTTTCATGTTGCAAATAATCAGCTCCACATTCAATATAATATAATGTAATATCTCTGCCAAGTTGGAGCCTGACCCATCGTATGTTAAAGTTGTCAAATGTATTTGAATGTCGGTAAAAGTTAAATTTTATTTCTAACATGGTTAAAACAAAAGTACTTCCTGTAAGGTGAAAGGCTTAACTCGGTGGCTATCCAAAGTGGTTTAATATCAGGGGTAGGAAGGCCTGTTTTAACTATCTAAAGCAATGATTTGAAGAATCCAAACTTGGAGTATTCTGAACAATTCTGGGAATCATTTCCTGAAAAAAGGATATATTGGCCATATAAAGTCCATGGCATATTCTTCAGTGGAATGATGTGTTTTTCTAAAATCTGAAAGTCTGACCATGTCTCATGACTAACTGTACTTCATAGTCAGTCAGTCTTGCAGATTTCACCCAAGAACTCCAATAGAAGGAGCAAACCTTTGATTGCTATCCATGATATCTTACTTCTAATTTTCTCTTTTCATGCCAAATGACTGCACTTTGTTTTTTTTTCCTTTGGTAGTGACTTAACCCATGCTGACATATCTACTTCATCCCTTATTTGGCTGAGGTTAAGTATATTAGCAACTAATGCCCTGACAATCTGCACTTGCTCTCTGCTACTAAGCTGGTTTTCTACCTTTGTAGTTTTTTCTATTTTCCCCATCCTCTGCTATCATTGTTTTCCAGAAAACAGCTCAGTGAACTGTAGAACTAGATCCATTTTTTTACACACATTTGCCAGCATTTAGTTGCATATGTTACATGTCTTAAACATCCACTTAACATGCAAAAATAGCAATTTCAGTTTGAGTTGAATGTTCGAGGCATAAGGGACTTGCCAATTTAAGTTTACCATCTCTCAGCAATTACACAGACCTTTCAGAATGAAATTGTGAAGCTTTTCTTCATGCAAAGTGGGAATGTAGTTTGGAACTCTATTTTGCAAATAGCAATTGATTCTAGCCTGCTTGTTAAGTTTGAAACTAGTTAGCAAATCTTTTCCAATCGCAAAGATGTTAAGCGTTATGAAACAAAGGTGGATATACAGGGTTTAGTCATAGATTAACCATGATCTGTCAAATAATAGCAAGATACTGCAGATGCTGAAACTCTTAAACATCTAAAAATGCTAAAGAAACTCTCGATCTGGGAAAATTTGTGGAGGGAGCAACAGAGTTAAGATTTTGAGTTCAGAACTTTATTGACCTCACGCTCTGGTGAGTTAGCACATCAGCTTATTTTTTCCCTGTGGTTTGACTGCAGCTTACTCACCCTCTATGTGCATTTCCTGATTCTAATATAGCCTCGAGTACCTATATTTGCACTAGTTACTGTAAGTGTTGGATCAAATAATGATGTTTCTTCATCAGCGATGCACTGTTAACATTTTCTCTTCCTCCAGAGGTTTCTGTCATTGAGCACAATTTCTACAGGTGAAGAGAAAAAAGATTGGAGACAAATGGCAGTCCCTTAGAGGAGAATTTATAATGGAGAAGGAAGAAATAGATGAGCAACTAAATAAATACTTTGGCTCAGTATTCACAGAGGGTCACAAATTTAACATATCAGAAATGTTGGGGAATGCAGGTTTTAGCGAGAGGGAGGAACTGAAGGAAATCAGTATTTGTAGGGAAATGATTTTGGGGTAATTTGAAGGCAGAGAAATCCCCAAGGCCTCAATAACCTACATCCCACAGTACTTGGGAAATGGCCGTAACAATAATGGATGCACTGGACACTGTCCAGGTGCTATCGACTCTGGAACAGTTCCTACAGATTAGAGGGTAACTAATGTAACTCCATCTTTGAAGTCCATTGTGAAGGATCCGATTTCAGAATACTTGGAAGTACATTGTAAAAGATGGCAAAGTCAGCATGGTTTCGTCATGGTCATGCCAGACAAATCTGTTACAGTTCTTTTGAGGAGGTAATGAATAAGTTAGACCAAGGAGAACCAATGGATCTTATCTACTTGGGCTTCCAGAAGGCCTTTGATAAGGTACCACACAGGAGGCTGCTGAGTAAGATAAGGGCCCATGGTGTTAGAGGCAAGGTGCTAGCATGGATAGAAGATTGACTGTCTGGCAGACAGCCAGAAGGTGGGGATAAAAGGCACCTTGTCAGGATGGCAGTGGTGACTAGTGGTATTCTGCAAGGGTCAGTGTTGGGACCACAACTTTTCTCTTTAATGACCTAGATGAAGGAACTGAGGGCATTCTGGCTGTTTGCAGATGATACAAAGATAGGTGGAGGAACAGGTAGTATTGAGATGGTGGGGAGGCTGCAGAAGGATTTGTATAAGTTAGGAGAATGAGCAAAGAAGTGGCTGATTAAATACAATGTGGGGAAAGTGTGAGGCCATGCACTTTGGTAAAAAGAATAGAGGCACAGACTATTTTCTATATGGAGAGAAAATTCAGAAATCTGAAGTGCAAAGGGACTTGGGAGTCCTAGTCCAGCATTCTCTGTATTTGCCTTCATAACTACCAACTCAATCCGCGAGTTAACCTTCAATGTTGGCATTTATTTCAAGAGGACCAGAATATAAAAGCAGGAATATACTTCTGAGGCTTTATAAGGCTTTGGTCAGACCGCATTTAGAAAATTGTGAGCAATTTTTGGCCCCATGACTTGGATGAGGAAGTGGAAGAGTGGGTTAGTAAGTCTGCTGATGACACAAAGGTTGCTGGAGTTGTGGATAGTGTGGAGGGCTGTTGTAGGTTGCAACGGGACATTGACAGGATGCAGAGCTGGGCAAAGAAGTGGCAGATGGCATTCAACCCAGAAAAGTTTGAAGTGATTCATTTTGGAAGGTCGAATTTGAATGCAGAATACAGGGTTAATGGCAGGATTCTCGGCAGTGTGGAGGAATAGAGGGATCTTGGGTTCCAGGTCCATAGATCCCTCAAAGTTGCCACCCAAGTTGATAGGGTTGTTAAGAAGGCGTATGGTGTGTTGGCTTTCATTGGCAGGGGAATTGAGTTTAAGAGCCATGAGTTTATGCTGCAGCTCTATAAAACCCTGGTTAGACTACACTTGGACGGTTCACTTCTGGTCACCTCATTATAGGAAGGATGTTAAAGCTTTACAGAGGGCACAGAGGAGATTTCCCAGGATACTGCCTGGACCGGAGGGCAGGTCTTATGAGGAAAGGTTGAGGGAGCTAAGGCTTTTCTCATTGGAGCGAAGAAGGATGAGAGGTGACTTGATAGAGGTATACAAGATGATGAGAGGCATAGATAGTGGATAGCCAGAGACTTTTTCCCAGGGCAGAAATGGCTATCACGAGGGGGCATAATTTTAAGGTGATTGGAGGATGGTATAGGGGAGATATCAGAGGCAGGTTCTTTACTACCACTGCTGGCAGCACATTCCACACACCCACTACTCTATGTAGAGTCAGATATGTTAGGGATGGTTGGGCGACTCTTGGATAGGCACATGGAGAATAGTAAAATGAAGGGTATGCAGGTTAGTTTGATCTTAGAGTAGGATAATTGGTCGGCACAAGGTGGGCCGAAGGGCCCTGTATTGTGCTATGTTCGTACTTCAGGAAGGATGTACTGACCCTAGGTGGGTCCGGAGGCAGTTCATGAGAATGATCCCAGGAATGAAAGGCTTAGTGTAAGAGGAGCGTTTGAAGACTTTGGGTCTATACTCAATGCAGTTTAGAAGGATGAGGGGGGATCTAATTGAAACTTACTGAACGGCCTGGATAGAGTAGACATTGGGAAGATGTTTCCATTGGCAGAAGAGACAAGGACCCAAGGGCACAGCCTTGGGGGTAAGGGAAGACTCTTTAGAACGGAGATGAGGAAAAACTTCTTCAGCCAGGGAGTGATGATTCTATGGAATTCATTGCCATAGAAGGCTGTAGAGGCCACGTCATTGAGTATATTCAAGATAGAGAGCGGTTCTCGATTGTCAAGGGGATCAAGCATTACAGGGAGAAAGCAGGAGAAAGGAGTTGAGAAATGTATCAGTCATGATTGAATAGCAGAGCAGACTTGAGTGGCTGAATGGCCCTATTTCTGCTCCTGTATCCTGTGCCCTTAAAGGAGGAAGAGAGAAATCTGGGAATTGTAGACAAATCAGCCTGATAAAGGTAGTGGAGAAAAAGCTAAAGTCCATTATAAATTATTTAATTACTGACCACTTGGAAAACAGTGGCATGATTGGACAGAGTCAGCATAGATTTTTGAAAAGGAGGTCATTCTTGACCAATTCTTCGAGGATAATACCCATAGCGTTCATGAAGTGGAGCCTGTGGCTCTGTTTATTTGGACTTTCAGAAGGCTTTTGACAAAGAGATGAGCCTGTAAAATGAAAATAGATGAGATTGGCGTATTGTGTTGAGATAGATAGAAACTGGCAGACAGGAAACAGAGTAGGAATAAATGGACTTTTTTGGAATGGCAGACAGTGGGGTACCACAGGGATCAGTGCTAGGATCCAGCTATTCACGAACAAAGGAACTAACTGCAATATTGTCAAGATGGCAATGACACAAAGCTGATTGGGAAACTGAGTTGTGAGGAGGATGCAGAGATGCTTCAGTTTAATTTGGACAAGCTGAGTGGACAAAAGCATGGCAGATGCGGTGTACTGTGGATAAATGTGAGGTTATCCACTATGGCAGCAAAAACATGAAGGCACATTGTTATCTGAATGGCTATAAGTTGAGAGAGGGGAATGTGCAATGAGACCTGGATGTCATAGGAACATAGGAATTAGGTGTCCTCATATTACCAGTTGTTGAGAGTAAGTGTGCAAGTGCAGTGGGCAGTAAAACTACAAATTGTACGTTGGCCTTTATAGTGAGATGGCTTGAGTACAGGGGCAGGATGTTATGCTGCAAATATACCTTGGTGAGACCACATCTGGAATATTGCGTGCAGTTCTAGTCTCCATATCTGAGGAAGGATGTTCTTGCTATAGAGGGAGTGCAGCACAGTCTTTCCAGAATGATTCATGACGTTTGACAAGAGATTGAATCGTTTGAGATTATATCCACTAGAGCTCAGAAGAATGAGATGTTATCTCTCAAACCTTTAAAATTTGAATCGGTCTATACAGGATAGGTGCAGGAAAGATGTTGCTGCTGATGGAGAAGTGCAGAACCAGGCGTCGCAGCCTTAGGATGTGGGTAGACCATTTAGGATGGAGATGAAAAATTCCTTCACCCAGGTGAGCCTGTGGAATTCCTGACCGTAGGAAGCAGTTGAGGCCAAAACACCATATGATTTCAAGGAGTTGGATATAGCACTGGGGCCAAAGGAATCAAAGGACACAGAACACAGAGCAAAGTGGGAAGAGGCTACTGATTTGGATGATCAGCCATGATCATAATGAATAGTGGAGCAGTCTTAAAAGGCTGAGTGGCCTACTCCTGCTCTGTTTTCTAGGTTTCTATTTATTGTCTGAAAGCAGACAATTGGGAGCAGAAGGGATTGGGGTGAGATTAGATGGAAAGCAAGGTCTCCATAATCCCACTATCTGCAGTTTATACTTAATGCCAAGTAGCAGGGTGACGGTTATTTGGAAGTAAGAAAGGGCACAAGGCAGTAACATCCTGACATCTCCAGTGTTCTGTGTGATGCCATTTATGTCCGAGTTTGGTTGGAGTCTGCCCCACAATGTGAAGCACCATATCTTCTGCAGGATTCAGAGTATGTTGCTTCAGTTCTGTTCTCTTCTGTATGTGACCTTGTACTGCGGCATTGGGGGAAAATTGTAGGCTAATGCATTTGAGATAGAAGAATAACTGGAGCTGTGGAGACTCTGACAAGTGAGTGTGAGACTGGCATCTCTGGCAGGTGAGGCTGAATGCTCATTCTGAATCCTGACTGTTAAGGATTCTTGTGTGTGGTGCAGAACAGAACAGTTTGGTCAATCCAGTTATTCAATTAAAAAACATTTGACTGCTTCAAAAGATCTGTTTCTTTCATGGTTACACATTTGACGATTCTACAGCCCAGTATACCTGAGTCTGCCTCGTCAGTCACTGCTTCTCAGCCACATTCCTAGATTCTAGACCCAGCTTCAACCTTCCTGCTTTCCAGTAACAGACCTTGAGCTTCTGTTTCTGCCTGTATATCTTTGCAGTATGTCTGAAGCAATTGTAGTGATTGTTATGATTCATCTTGATAGTGGACCTGGGTGAAAACCCAAACCATGAATCCTGTCTCATTCTGTGCATTGTCTCTCCCTGCAGCTCAAGCTTCTAATTTCCCTCACTCAAATGTTGCTGTAGCTCTTAGGCCACTGTTTCCTCATCCAGCGTTGTCCTCTCCCTGATTGATTGGACTTGGCATGAATATCTGATCTATTCTATGTTGTCAGTTATTTTGATGTTTTAAAAATGATTCAACAGGTGTATATGTGGGTAATGTGGTATTTATGAAAAATATTAGATGGAAGGAAAGAAAAACGGTAAGATGATTGTTTAGAAGATGGAATAAAAGGGACATGACAAAAAGTAGGAGTGGAATATAGAACAAGACAGTAGGAGCAGCAAAGCAAGTCGATACAGGGAATAAAGGAGTTAAGTTGTGGAGAGGAAATAGACTAATGGTTGCATGAAAAGAGATAGCTTTTGTATGTGGTGATCAACTAATAGAAATTTTTCAGCTGACAGCAGTAACTTGAATTCCTTAGTCTACTGTGTCCAACTAATAATAAGTAAAGTAATTGTAGTTCTCCAGGACCACAGGGCTGCTCCTCTCATTACAGGGAGACCCTTAGGGTCACCATGCCTCGGGCAAAAGGAGAGGTTGAGAAAGAGCGCCCTTCATGGTTACCTCAGCCAGTGCAGGAATTGAACCCATGCTGCTAGCACCACTCTGTAGTACAAACCAGTTGCCCACTGCAAATAGGACAGCAGTCTGGCAGAATTGTGAATTGTGCATTAGTTTAAGGTGAAGAAACGTGGTCAGAGATGTACAGCATGGAAATAGATCCTTTGCTCTAACTTGCTCATCAAATATTCTACATTAATCTAGTCCCATTTGCCAGCATTAGGCCTCTATCCCTCACACCTCCTCCTATTCATATACCCATCCAGATGCCTTTTTAAATGTTGTTGTAATTGTACCAGCCCCCACTACCTCCTCTGGCAGCTCATTCTGTACAAACACCACCCTCTGCATGAAAAGGTTGTCCCTTAGGTCCCTTTTTTAAAATCTTTCCTCTTCACCTTTAAACCTATGCCCTCTAGTTTTGGAGTCCTCCACCTCAGGGAAAGGGCCTTGACTATTCAGCCTATCCACGCCCCTCATGATTTTATGAACTTCTGTAAGGTCACCCCTCATCCTCCCTATAGCTCAAACCCTCCAACTATGGCAACATCCTTATAAATCTTTTCTGAACCCTTTCAAGTTTCACAGTGTTCTTCCTAAAGCAGGGAGGCTGGAATTGAATGGTTAGGCCACTATTGGAAAACTGCAATATCCTGTATGTTTAAAAAAAAAAAGAAGTAAATGATTTAACAAACCAGAAAGATGTAAACAAATGAGATATTGGAGTATGATTATTTGTCAGCTGCTCTGCTTGCTGTAGGATGCCACATTGCTCATGTCGTGAGATGTAATCGTATGCTTAAATCTGTGGCTGCATTTGGGTGTTTGAAGTTAGATACCGTTCCTATTTCAGACCTGTTAACATCAGCAATATTGCAGCTTAGCAATTCAAATCATTTTATTCTGTTTTAGGTCTCAAAATATTTGATCTTCACAATCCAAAAAATATAGGCCCTCATCTTGCTGTGGATTTGGAGCATAACATCATGGTAGCATATCATCCTCATGGCCCACCAATCCGATTTAACACCATTTCGAGCCAGGACCTACACTATGTTGCAAATGAACTGGATGAAATTAAAGGAGGCAAGGACACGGTCATAGCCATCACTTTGTGGTCTCATTTCAGCACTTTTCCAGTGGAAGTTTATATCCGAAGACTACAGAACATCCGCAGGTCAATTTTGCAGTTACAAGGGAGGAGTCCAGATACAGTGGTCGTATTGAAGACTGCCAATGTGCAGGCCTTGCCAGGAGATGTCAGTCTGTATAACAGTGACTGGTACTCCTACCAGCTTGATATCACGATGAGGAAGATGTTCACAGGCATCAGTGTGGCATTTGTAGATGCCTGGGAGATGACACTAGCACATTACCTGCCACATAACTTGCACCCTGAGCGAGTCATTGTAAAAAATGAAATAGATGTATTTCTTTCTTATGTGTGTCCTTCTGAAAATAAATAGAAATAAATTATGTATTAGATCTGTTCTAAACAGATTTCAGTTATCATGGGATTCAAAGTCTAAGTAATATCAGAAAACTTAGATTTATGTACTTGCCTTAAACTATTATGCATTTTCTAACATGGATGACAACACATTTTTAAACAAATGATAATTTTTTAATTATTCATGTGTGGGAGTATTCATTATGGTTGGAGCCAAATAACTTATTTATTTTTGTGTACAAAAATTCCATTATAACTGGAGGAATCTAATTTAAAGGAACTGTACTCCGTGGCTATTTGCTGTGTAATGGAATTTTTCCAAAGTAATGTAGAATACTGTATTATGGGATAGGGATTGTAGCAAACACCATTTTTTTTTTTATTCAGTGGGAATTTTCCTCCAGCTAAATGAAGAACATGCCAAATACAGTGTGAGGAAGGAATCCATTGAAAAATGTGCAATCTGACCTATGGTCTCAATAGGAAAGGCGCCACACAGGAGGAAGTGTGTGTGTAGAAAGTGTAGAAGTGCAGTTGGGCGATCCTACAGTTAGGGGGACAGACAGGCATTTCTGTTACTAAACAGCAGCACATATCTGAAATCACAGAAAATAGGAGCAGGCCTTTGAGCCTGTTTTGCCATTCAATATCATCACGGCTGCTCGACCAACCTACCATTTATACCTGAGCTTTCCCTACACCCTTTGATTCCTTTCGCCCTAAGAACTGCATTTAGCTCTGTTTTGGCTTCAATCACTTTCTCTTGTGGAGAATTCCAAGGGTTTATCACTAGGTGCAAAAAAAATTCTCCTTGTTTCAGTCCTAAATGGTTCACCTGGTATCCTTAGATTCTAACTTGGTTCTGGACTCCGCAGTCATTGAGAGCATCATTCCTATGTTTATCCTGTTTAGATTTTATTAATTTCTTTGAGATTAATCCACCCACCATCTACACACCCCGACCCCAATTCTTCTAAAATCCAGTGAATATAAGGTTAACTCATCCAGTCTGTCTTTGTACATTAGTTGAGAGTGTTGGGCTTCGTCGTGTATTGTTTTCCCTGATGTCGGGGTAAACTGGATTAGGTAGCGGTAGATTAAGCAAATTGGCAAGAATAGCCTCAAGGGAGAGTTCATTGAATATATTAGAGATCGGTTCCACCACATTTTCCTCCAAGCAACAAGGGAGCAGACTATTCTGAATTTGGTGTTGTGTAGTGAGGTGGGAATTAATGAATGATCTCAGTAAAGGATCGTCTAGGGAAGAGTCATCATAGCATGCTAGAATTTCGAATTCAATTGGAGGACAAAAACCAGTCCTGCACCAGTGCTTTGATGTTAAATAAAGGCAATTACATAGGCAGATGGATAGTGGCATAGGTAGGAAGACTAAAAGGTAGGACAGATGATGAGCAGTTGCAGATGTATAAGAAGATAGTCAGTTGCTCCCAGCTGAAATGTATTCCAAAAAGGAAGTAAGCTTATGAGTCACAACAAGCATCAATGGCTAAGCAAGGACATTAAAAATAATATGAAGGCTAAAAGCTATGGCATGCCGTATTGCAACAATGAGTGGCAGGCTGGAAAATTTGGGAAGTTTTAAAGATCAACAAAAGGTTACAAAAAAAATCATAAAATACAAAAGTAAATGTAATGCTTAACTTTTTAACTCTCGTTTCTCTTACAATTTTGTACCCAAGTTTTTTTTTGCACCATGGTACTTAAGATGATGCCAAGTGTGGTGACTTTATACACTTTTCACTGTACTCCTGTACTTGAGTACACATGACAATAAAAATCTAAAATCTCAAAAAAAACCTAAATCTGAAAGAAAACTAGTGCAAATATAAAAACAGAATAAGCTTTATGAATATATAAAAAGGAAGAGAGTAGCTAATGTAAATGCTGGTCCTTCGGTAGATAAGACTGAGGAATTAGTAGTGGGGAGCACAGAACTGATGGAGCCAGTAAGTCAACATTTTACTTCAGTTTTCACATGGGAGGCACAAGTACCATCCCAATAGTAACAGGTAATACAGAAGTAATAGAAAGGGAGGAACTTAGACCAATAACTGGCATCAGAGGGAAAATTACTAAGCAAACTATTAAAGGAGGCAAGTTCCCAGTGCCTGGTGGCCTACATCCTAGGGTCTTCAAGGAAGTGGCCCCAGAGATTAATGGCCCATTGTTAAGAATACTCCAGAATTCCCTGGATGTGGGAAAGGGTTCTGTGGAATGGAAGAATACTAACATGACACCTTCATTCAGAAGGGAAGGGAGGCCAAGGAGTAGGAAGGCAAGTTATTATGTAAATGGAGAGAAACTTCGAAGTGTTTTGGTGCAGCAGGATCTGGGTGTCCTTGGACATGGATCGCAGAAAACTACTATGCAAGTATAGCAGGGAATGAGGCAAATGGAATCTTGGCATTTATTGGTAAAGAAAAAGTGTACAAAAGTAGGGAAGTAATTGCTGAGAAGGCATTAGTCAAATCGCACCTGCAGTATTGAGTATAATTCTGCTCCCTCACTTGAGGAAGGTTGTAGTTGTACTGGAGATAGTTCAGAGGAGATTTGCTAGATTGATTCCAGACATGAGCGTTTTGTGTCATGATGACAGATTGAGCAGTTTAGGCCTATACTATTTGGACTTTATAAGAATGAGATGAGATCGAATTGAGGTATATAATATGCTAAAGGGAATTGACAAAATTGATGTTAAAAGGATGTTTCCTCTTGTGGGGCAATCTAGAATGAGAGGTCATAGTTTTACGATAAGAGTTAGCGGATCTAAAACAGAGATGAGGAGAAATTACTTCTCCCAAAAGTTTATGAATCAATTACATCTAGTACCCTAGACTGTGGTGGCTGCTGAGACATTAAGTAAATTCAAGGAGGACATAGATTTTTAATTAGTAATGAGTTGAAGGGTTATGGAAAGCATGCAGGAAAATGGAGTTGAGGCTGAGGTGTGATCAGCCATAATCATATCAAATGGTGGAGCAGGCTCAAGGGGCTGAATTACCTACTCCTGCTCCTAGTTCTTACATTCTTATGTAAAGGCAATCTCTAAAAGGTGAATATTCTACACAATGAAGGGAGTGATCCAGTGGTTGCAGTACATCTTGGTGCCAATGACATAAAGAGGACAGTTATTGAGGTCATATGATGCGATTTTCATGAACTAGAGTAGATGTTTAAAAAGCAGGACCTTAAAGATATTAATGTGTGGATTACTCCGTGTACTTAATTAATGGGCCCCGTACTTTACAAACAGAAAGGACTTGTACAAGTGCGCCTTACGTTGTAACTAAAAAAATGCTTGGGGATTTTGGTAATCTTTAATCAGTCAGAGCTGCTTGATTTGAATTTTAACTACCCTGCTGTGTTCTCCATGTATACATACATACCAATTAGAATCCACTTACCACTGTTGCTCAAGACAGCTATTGTAGTGCGATTGTGCAACAATGACATTATTAATTTACGTACTTTAACAGCATTGTGCTACTTTCTTTCATTCTGACCTGTTTCAGATAGTATTTAAATTAATGAAGCTACTGGTAGCTAAATGAGAACTTAATAAAGTCTAGTGTGAAAGTGAATTGGAACTATCTGAAAGGTGAGCTCTGCTGTTTATCTGAAACTTGGATTTTCAATATGTAAATGAATAATCCAATCACAGTCACCATTCTAAAATTATCACCCATAATTTTTGTCTCTTTTTCTGCTGATTATATTAACTCACGGTGGGTTATGGTTGCATCATTCATAGTTGTTTCCTGCAGCCCTTTCCTCTGGCCATAATCCCTTCCAAGTGGCCACTGTTGATTTGTGAGCCTGAATAGTAATCAGTTGCCAGCACATTATTTGATATTGGTAAATGTCATAGCAGAGGCTCCAGTCCAGACACGTCCAATTTGCTGCAGAGCTACTGTGTAGTATTTGGGAAAGGAACTCCCAGTCCCTTGCTCAGAGACATGATTAGTAAGATATATTTTCCTGGAAAGACAAATATGCAATGTAAGCCTATTGGTTACTTACGTTGAACTTTTTTGAGAAGCTCATTACTGTACACTGGGAAAGAAAGTTCAACGCAGCTGAAGCAACTTAATCTCAAAGCAGAACTTACAACACAAGGGAGAATTTCATTTACACAGTATCACTCGGTACGTGGGCTTGTACCAATTACCTGTCAAAAGACAGGAGCACAGGCCATACAGCATTCTGCACAAATATCATTGACCAATGTTGCACAGGCTACAGGTGTAAGGCTACAGGTGTAAGGCTGCTTGCCCTGGGAAATGAAGTAAAATTTGTATGGTACTGCTTGAAGTAGTGTTACATAAGACTGTAAGAAATAGGAACTGGAGTAGGCTGTTCTGTCTCTCGAGCCTGCTCTGCCATTCAATGAAATCAGAGTTGATCTGATATTCCTTACATTCCCTTTCCTATGATTTTCCCATAATCCTTGATTCCCCTACGATCAAGAATCTATCTATCACAACCTCAAATATACACAAGGAATCTGCTCCCACAGCTCTTTGTGGCAATGAGTTCCAAAGCTTCTCAACCCTCTGAGAGAAGAAATTCTTCCTCATCTTGGTTTTAAATTGGCGCCCTTTATTCTGGGACTATACCCTCTGGTCCTAGACTCTTCCATGAGGGGAAAAATTCTCTCAGCATTTACCCTGCCAAGCCTTTTAAAGAATCCCATATGTTTCAATGAGATCACCTCTTATTCTTTTAAACTCCAGAGAGGAGAGTCCCCAACCTGTTTAGCCTTTGCTCATAAGACAATCCCTCCATACCAGGGATGATCCTAGTGAACCTTCACTGAACTGCCTCCAATGAAATGATTGACACGATAGATAAAGATTAACTATTTCCACTGGTTGAAGGTTCTAGAATTGGGAGTAATCTAAGAATTAGGACCAGGCCATTCAGGAGGTGTGTTATAAAGCACTTGTACATGCCAAGAATGTGGAGTATAGACAATTTTTTTATTAAGCAAAGGTAACAAGGGATATGGGCCTGACAGGAGTTAGGTCAAAGATCAACCA